TTTTTCCTTTCAATTCCACCCTTCTTTTTGCTATTTTGAGCTGTTTTAACCCAGCTGAAACATTCCACTTCGCTTTCCGCCATGTTTGTTTTCATTCACGTCCCCCCAAATAATCCCATAGATGCGCGCGCGCCTATAGTTCGGGTCCCAGGCAATCACTCTTTTCCGAAGTGATCTATTTACATTCACTTCAAATTTTAATCTTCAATCATTTTCAAATCTTAAATTTTCTACTTTTCAATAATTTGAAACATATCCACCCCTTATTTTTCTTCATTAAGAACACTTTAAAACCCATCCAGAAATTCCCCACCGATTTGATTGCGGTAAGGACGCCAACCTTGTAAGTCATTTTTTACAGTTTTAAAAGGAAAATTGACAAGACAGAATGTGTCCGTAATTCCACCGGTTTTTCCAAAAGTTAAGACTACTTGAATCCCGAGGTATCCCAGGTCTAAAACATCCAACTGAAGTGTTTGTATCAATGTTTATTTTAAGTGTGATTGAGTGATGTACTTATACTGATATATCTAACATCAGAGACCACCAAGTTATTCAAGTTATTAGACAACCCGGCCTCTTTTACTATTTACACCGTACTCGCACAAAATATTCTGTGTTGATTCAACTCTCTATCTGGGGATATCAGACCATTTCAAAGCATCTACGATGAAATAAAAAATTGCAATAAAATCTTCAAAAGGGCCAAAAGTACCTTAAGGCTCCTCAGGCGAATTTTGGGTGCCTGCTCGGTTTAAGTCAAATCTGTCGCTTACTTGACTCTAGTACACCCAAAGTTTGCATACGCAGACTGGGGATGGAATCATAGCGGGGGTCTGTCCCACGCGCGCTTCGCCCCATACTCATAGATTATGGTCAACCTCTTTTCGTTTGGTTGTCACGTGATTGACCGAGCGTACGTACGTACGTACGTACGTACGAGTCTACGGATTGTACGGGTGGGGTAGGGGAGACTGTCGAAAGGAAGGGAGGGGTGTCTCAGGCGTGTCTTGCCAACTCCACATCTTTTACATTGGACATTCACAATATGGTCAATTGACAGCTGTCAAAACAGGATAGCCACTGACTAGTATCCCATGACCGTATCGCGGGCTCATGTGTTAACTCATTGAGGTGACGTGATTTATTTGAAAGCTGTCCGCTGACCAGTTAATTATTTTACTAGATCGCGATCAATGTTCAGTCTCATACTTTCCAGCTAGTTTGGGATCGGAGCACAGGAAAACTGATACACATATTGGACATCAATGTTGTGATCAATTGACAGCTGTCAAAACAAGGTATCCGCTGACCAGTATCACTTGACTGTATCGCGGGCTCAGGTGTCGACCCATCGAGGTCAAGTAGTTTTTTGAAGTTATCCGCTGACAAGGTACTGGTTTTCAAATGATCACAGGCTCAAGTTTAATTTTTTTTAAAAATTCATATGAAATATGTCGCGTTTATGTGCCGCACAATTAAAATTTTGATTTCAAACTGACCTCGGACGCGAAAATTCAGCCAGCTGCTACAGGCAGGGAAGACAGTTGCTTTTGACTTTTCTCGCCATGTTCACGCGTTGGTCACGCTCTACGTCCAATTTTTATGCTCTGATTGGTCAAAATTTGACCGGTGAGTTCATCTTGAAAAATTTATGTGAAGCATTTTGAATCTTGTTTACTTTTTGACTGGATGCTGAAAAGCTGACAGATTTGTTTTTTTGTATCAACTTGCAAAGTGATGTTTATAACTGTCTACAATTTTCTACTGGATGTACAAAATGAAATTCAGCTGCTATCATTGATGGAGTCTTCTGTTATTCATGGCTAGTTTGTATATTTGTTTTTTGGTTGACAAATTAAAAGTCTGTGACAATACACTGGAAAGGCGCAGGATTTCATCGATGGCATCGTTACCGGTAAAAAAACGCGATTGCAATAATTTATGTTTCTGAGATCAGGCTTTATTTTTGTTTTGCCTTTTCAAAATTGCTTAATGCGTAAGCTTAGTGTCACGGGTTGACAAAAAGTCTAGCTCAAGCATATTTTAACTCGATTTTACTGGCCTTACATTGTAGGCCATTTGACACCTTTCAGGAGCTGCATCTCGAGTGGTAAGCCTAAGTAATTATTGTATTTGATGTTTGTTTTTTATTCCTAATTTAATGAAGTGGAGCGTAGTTTATGCGGCTATTTTGTTTACGCACGTTTGTAAGATTTGAGACAATGGTCTGACCGAGTATCAGGTTTGTTATAAGCTTACAGATCTTTAAAAAGCCTTTAGACATTTTCTCACCGCAAATAGAAAGAAAACGTTTCAAGGAATATTTAGTTATAATTCTGGCTGTAAAAGAAAGGTTTGAGTGATTTCTTTGCCTTGAGTTCGTCTTTGAAAAAAGCAAACACCGGGAAGCCGGCTTAAAACATAAACTTCAGCTTTAAAGCTCGAAGACTCAGGATTTTTAGAGACACTTTAATGCTTGTCCTCCTGAATGAAAACTGTTGTCTCTGCATATGTTTCACCGAATTATATTTCTTTTATTGATTGTTAGTACTGTCTCTTGTAGTTTTAATCGCTGTGCCGATTGTTTTCAGTCGTTCAGTGAACAACGCTTCCCGGAGTGCTCAAAATGCCGCGCGTTAAACCGTTTTAAAATAAAAAATAAACATAATAAATTCTCTATTATGTTGGAGCGCAACTGGGTCAATGTTCATTCAAACACTCGCCACCGCTAGCACTGCAAAAGTCAAGAACCGGCTGCCCGTATAGATGATTTTGAAAATTTTTTTAACGGTTTACGGCTAAAGCCCACTCGTGCTTTGATCGTCCTGAATATTGAATGATAGCAATTTGTATCGCAATATTGTGAAATACTGCATTCTGTTGTCCGAGGTCTGTATGATAAAAACAGAGCCTCATAGTACTGTTTCACCTCAGATGTGATGTATAAGTGATATAAAAGCTTGGTTTACACGCACCCAGATTTGTTGGCAAGATTTTGTTAAGTAAACTTGTCGAACGCAAAAAATTCGGCCGGAATTTTTTTTCCAGGCCTAATTAATCTACGGTGATCAAGAGCCATTATGGCTCTTAATATAAATGTGATCGAAGATGATTGCCAGTTTTTGGGTGTACTTATGAGGCTATCAACTCGATCTGAGATTTGGTTCACTCTTGGGCTGTTTGCAAATTATTTTTTGTAAAATCACTTAGCCTTTCCTTGAAACGTCACACGAATGTGCTCTAAAGTTAACTGAATTGTGGAATCCAAGTTTATTGTTTGATTTAAATTATAAATTTATTAATGGGAGCCTCGCTTTTAGCCCTGGCTAAATCTATATGTTATACTATGCAAAACATACCCAAAATCGAAATGGTACTTTGTCGTCGTGCAAAATTTGTCTTTAGTCACCGTTTTCCTTATGGCCATGTTGCTTTTAATGACAGAAAGCATTGGATGAGACTCCTTGGAACACGGAAGGCTTCTTTCTCAGTATCGAGCATGTTTTACAAAATACATCTAGTCATCTTGCTATCTAGTTTCCAGATGAAACTGTAAATTTGAATAGGAAGTCTAGGCGGCCAAATAAGAATCTTTTAATTTAATACAATCACATTGTAATACCGACCCCGGCATATAAATAGTCTATAATTTTTATCATAAAAATATAATTACTTGGAACAATACATACATCTTTCAAATCCTCCAACCACAACAGAACATAAGAATGCAACAATGAAGTCAATTAGCTTCTATTTTTTACCTAATGTCTTGCAAATTTAAGTTTCCTCATCACATTTTTGTGAAATTTCATTTGTTATCTTTTACATCAGAATTCATTATCTTATGCATACACAGCTCGTATTTTATCTCTTCTTTAATCCTCTTAGTGTGTCAATTTTTTGTTATTTTGTTTTTTAGAAAAGCCAAGAATTCTGCCAAGCTCTCTCCAGTTTGAATCAAGACCTTCTGCAAGGTCATCAAGCAATAAGTAGGAAAACTGGATTGCCTGCATGATGAGGATGATGCGGTATGTTTCAAGCGATAAAGTGCTACATGATGCTAACGTTTACCCCTGGTTTCTAGAACTGGTGTAGTTCTACTCCTGACCATATTGAAACCACTCGACCACTAATAGCAGGGTAGGCTGTTGCTCGTGAGATTTTTGGCAATTAGAACTTGAGAAAATCCTTCTTACTTCTTCTTCTTGTGACTCTAACTTGATAATCCCAATCTGGCACGTTATCGTGCGATAGTCAGCGTAAGAAGAGGGTAAAGGCTAGAAGGAGGGAATGTCTTTTCCAGAAAAATTGGCGTGCATGTTTCTCAACGTAATTGCCTATTTGTCTAGTTCACTAATCCATCACAATAATGCATACTCGGCTGCGATAATTTTCAACAGATAATCAATTCCTGTTTGATGTTCTTTAGGGGTTCTTGCAAGACCTCTTTAAATTGACTTTTTTAGTTCATAATCAAACTAAATTTTGTTCCACTCCTCCTCCTCCTCTGTAGTAGCACCTACTTTTCTTTCAAAACTAACACCTTTTTCCAATTTATTTCTTGTCAGATGATGACCTATAATTGTGATTTTCACCTCTCAAAAATCCAATATCACCATGAGCATATGAACAATTGTGCTAACTTTCACGGTATGGTGTGCATAGTCTCATACCTAACTGCGTGCTTACTTTTTGCAGTATCATAAGAATGCCTACCTGCAACTATGTTAAACAGATCATCCACTTCTGCCTTCTTTAGTGCTTCCTGTAAGGCCTCCACTGTAGCGGCATCACCACTTGTTCTCTTCCACTCATCAAGCATGTCCTTTCCTTTATTATGTTCACCTTTATTCTCTTTGTTAAAATATTCGAGTTGTTGCTCAGGAAATCCAAGGAATGTACCAAGCTTCCTCCAGTTTGACCCAAGAGCTTTTGAAAGGTTAGTGAGTTGGTAGTGGGAAACTGGTATGGTCCTCGGACTGCTGGGTTCCTTCACCTCAGCTGCAACGTAAACATATGCACATGTAACGAGCATGAGCTTTTTTGAAGGGTCCTGCTCACCGTACCAGGAATTTACCTTTTCAAACTAATTTTAGTCCGCCGGTGGATTGTTTGAAATTGTCCAGAAATTGGGTATTGCTGTTCATGAATATGATGACAGCTGGAAAAAACGCGAGGTGTAATAGCGGAACTCTCTCGCACGCAAAACTCGGGCAGCGGAGCACCATGCGTAAAAAAATCTATCCATCCCAGAAAATTTGGCAATCATGTGACTGTACACCGACCACCCGAACGACCGTCCGTCCGCACCACAGGGAAACCAATGTTTAATCTCACACTTTCTAACTACTTTGAGAGCCCAGGTCAACCTGATATTGCACATCCATGTTGTGATCAATTGACAGTTGTCAAAACAGGGTATCCACTGACTAGTATCACCTGACCGTATTGCAGGCTCAGGTGTCCATCGTGGTCTAGTAGTTTTTTGAAGTTATCCCCTGACAAGGTGCTAGTTTTCAAATGAGCGCAGGCTCAAGTTTGATAATTTAAATGCATGGGAAATAAGTTGTGTTTTTATGAGCGTTTATGAGCCGCACCATCAAAATTTTGATTTCAAACTGACCTCGGACGCGAAAATTCAGTAGCCAGCTATTACAGGCGCGGAAGGCAGTTGCTTTTGACTTTTCTCGCCACGGTCACGCGTTGGTCACGCTCTGCGTCCAATTTTTATGCTATGATTGGTCCAAATTTGACAGGCGAGTTTATGCGGAAAATTTATGCAGCATCTGGAAACTTGTTTACCGATAGCTGATCCTGACAGGGTTTTGTATCGTCATCTTGTGAAAAGAAATTTCACAAATAATCAAACAAGCTGTTCCCGAAATACAAAAAGAAGGTGACAAAAGTCGGTTTGGAAGTTTTAACAGGTAAATTTTTGTCTGCTTGACTTGAATTTATCGATGTTTTTTGTTTACAAATGCAAATTAAGCTTAAGTCTTTCGTTACTTTATTTAGCGGAATTGTTCATAAATAAGCTCAAGAGTAAATTAATTAAATAGTGTTTTTTTACAGAATGGTTTTAAATACAAAGAGAATTCACAACTTCTTTTGACTAAATTTCCCGGAAGGAGCTAAACAAATGCCTTCAATAATTTTATTTGTCTCCAAGAAAACGCGACCGCCGTTCGGTCATTGCGCGCCAAAAATGTAATCGTTAGCAACAGTAAATGAGTTAAAAATCATCATTTTCTGCTCAATTAACTGTGGCCGCTTTGCGGCTCGGTAAATGTAACGACTAACCACTTCTACTTCGGTGAATAATTGATATATATTAATATTGTCACTCGACCCTTACTGTGTATAGTTCCTTTAATGTTGTCAGTTTAAGTGAAGGAATTTTAGCTCTAACATGAGAATCCTTTAGAGATTTTTCCCTCCGATAAGCAGCAATTGGGGTGTTAGGATATATTTGCGCGAGCGTGTTATTGCTTGTAATAATGTGCCAGTGTTTCATTAGAATCTTTTTGAAATTCGGAATAGCAGGATTGCATGCGTTCAGTTAGAGTCTACTGCTTACAGGTAACAAAAGAACACGCAAATTCAAGCGTAACGGATCGAAATGTTACATTTCTAATTACTTTCTCTAACAACGCGTCCCTTCTTTGCTTATAAAAAGGGACCATTTCAAGCCATAAGATCACTTTCTTTTGCCCGCAACCACACGAGCACTAACTGTTAAAGCAACTGACGAAGGAAACCATCTTAGATTTCCGAAACCGGTCTTGCTATTTAAAAAGTTCCTTTCAAGACTCTATGGCTACCATTTATTGTTAGAGCCTAAATCTCTTCACTTGATTAACAACACTGTGGGAGTTATACACAGTTAAGGCGGAGTGACAATATGATTACACTTTGACTTAAAAAACTACAATATCCACCGTGTGAACTTCACTCCACTAACTGAGTCTCACGATTTCTGCTAAATTCTAAATTAGGCTCGCCTTTATTGTTGACTTTTTTTAAAGGAACTTTCGAATTGATTACGTATATAAAAAAGACAATTATGAAGTTTTAACAAACGTCCTAACGCAAATTTGCATGCGTTCAGTTAGCGTCTATTGCTTACCGCTAACAAAAGAACACGCAAATTCAGAACTCTATGGCTACCATTGACGATAACTCAGTTATTGCCATGCTCGCCAAAGTGAGAGACAGCCCACGCCGCCTATCTCACCGATCAACTCACCCCTGAAAAGCATCTCTGACTCAGAAGACGATTTACCATCGTCGGAAGCAGCCTCCAAGCGTATGTACGTGGGTTCGTATCCCATGTATCTGCGTCCTCGGAGACCCAGGGGAAGTGAGTCTGGTCGGGAAAAAAGGGGGGACGAGAGTTTTCAAGTAAGGGCGGAAGAGCCCCTGAGTACCGACTCTCACCGATTTATTTCCAAAAATTCAAGCGGATACCGGCTCCTGATTGGGCACAAAAAATGCCTTGTATTATTGTGCCCAATCGGCGGACGGTTTCTCCTGAGTTTTTTTCGTGAGTTCGCACTCGACGGCTATTGTCTCGCCACACTTGCCAGGTTCGTTCACCAAGCCTGGGCGTACACACGTGCGTACGTACGTACGTATTTTCTACTTTCCTAACCAGAAACAAAGGAACTACCGATGAGTTGAAAAAACGTTTGGGTTACTATCAGCATTGCCCCGAGAATATTCTGTTTTTGACGGATCACAATTAAGATGCGGCGGCGACGAGAAAGTCAAATAAGTAAGAGCTTGACAAGGGAGAACAGCAACTTTGCACGTGCATCACGCTTTTTTGTACACTTCTTTACCGTCAACTGCACGACTGCCCGTGCAAATGCCTAATTTCATGTTTTGTGAAGGACGTAAACAAGCAACAACAAAATTCATTCTCTTCATGAACTTGGACATGGTTGATAGAAATTCAGCTCCAGAAGAGTTCGCTTGCCTTTGACAAGTAAGCGAGTTGGATCAGATGTGGATTTTACATCAAACTGAAAGTTTCCTGACTGCGTGCATTTCTTTGGTGCATGAGCTAGACAAGCCGTGATCGAGACAATAGCAGTCATGTACGGACACACGAAAAGAACTCATTGAGATGTGTTCGCCGATTGGGCACAATAATGCAAAGCATTTTTTGGAGTTTGCCTTTTGGTCGCGGGTTGAGGGTGGAGGGTAACTAGTCGAGGGTCGAGGGTAAATGGTCGAGGGTCGAAAAATCCTCCACAATTATTTCTGAATTTTTTTCAATTTAAAACCTAAAATTCCCAAATAAAGCAACCAAAGGAAAGAAGCGTGACAGGAAGTTCAATAAATATCATAATGCCATTAAACTGTTGACTGAGAACTTTGAAGCAGGATCTCAGCTCTAATAATTTTCTTTAACTGTAAGACATTTAAGATTCGATTTAAGATAGAATACAATGCATGTGCATTTTTTCTTTAAAGTTTTAGATTTGAGAAAGAGTCAATTTCGAGAAAACATCCGGTACTTCCCTTTAAGAAATTTCCATCTCTTGTATTGCCTAAGCATGTGATAATTTAGCCGGAATTTCAAAGGTTTTTGGGGATGAAGCCGAAATTAAATCGTGTAAGTTCCACTTTAAAGACCGCAGAAACAAAAAAGCTCAAAAACTAGACAGTAAGAGCAATGACGAGTTTAAACAACTGTGTGACAGGCTGTTACTGTGCACAACTGTTGCTAGATACCAGGCCGCCAAGTCTGATTTGGACTTATTTATTGCGGCCGACGATGGCAGGGCTTTCCTGACAGACTGGGTATCGTGGTGGCATGAGCGACGTGGGTTCATTTTCCGCGCGTTCACCAACCCCAATGCACCGCAAATGAACCAAGCTGAAGTGATTCACACTGGTTGGGCTCACCGAGACCGCCAAAATTTGTCTCTGCTAGACGCGTGTCAAGCAGACACACGAGACGCTTTGCTGCTTGACGTGGAGATCAAAGCTTACTTGACCGGCGCTACACCCGGAGAAAAGGGTCCTTCGTTTGCTGACCGCGCACGTAAACAACATGAAGCAGAAGTGAGGAGAGCGAAGTCAACAGGGAGGGACATGTTTTCCTCTCCTGAAGGGCTGCTCGTTGATGCAGGTTCCTCACACAAACCACCTTCGCGGAAAAAGAAGGCAACTAAATCAAAGGGTCCAGGTTTTCCAACGCTACAGGCACTCAGTCAAAGCATAAATCCCCCGCCTACTTGGCAGCCGAGCTACCCTGCTTCCCATGGTGCTGATCCAGCTGTACCAACGCCACAGGTAATCAGTCAAAGCGTAAATCCCCCGCCTACTTGGCAGCCGAGCTACCCTGCTTCCCATGGCGCTGCCAACATGATACAGCCGCGGATCCAGACTTTTTCTCTACCGCCAGTGCAAGCGAACTAAGATGCGGAGTCCCACAGGGTAGTATTCTCGGTCCTTTGTTCTTCTTAATCTATATAAACGATCTTCCAAACTGCCTTAATTCAGCATGCGCTAAAATGTTCGCAGATGATACAACTATTACCATTTCTCGTTCCTCCCTAGTTGACCTTGAACAAGAGACTAACTTAGAACTACTGAACCTTCACTGTTGGCTAAAGGCCAGTAAGCTTAGTCTTAATGTTGCGAAAACCGAGTTTATGGTTATTGGCTCTCGCCAGAAGCTTCTTGCGGAAAGCCATAACGAAATAAACATTAAACTAGAAGACCAAGTTATCAGCAATGTTGATCACGCAAAATCATTAGGTCTCATTATCGACAATCGGCTTTCCTGGTCTAATCATGTTAACGAATTGTGTAAGAAGGTAACTTCGGCTATAGGTGCCCTTAGACGTATCAGGCCCCTTATCTCTCAATCTACTGCGGTACTAGTCTATAACTCCTTAATTCAACCTCATTTTGATTACTCTAGCCTCGTTTGGGATGGGTTAAGTGATCATCTGAGCGACAAATTACAAAAGTTACAGAACCG